TTTGAAACCTTAACCTTGTTTATTTATTATTATTGATCTTCCTGTTAACTATTTTGTCGTTAATATGCTATATAGAATAAAATAATTTGCAAATAGATTTACTAATATTATGATTAATACCAATATTGTAGTAAAATATTAATCAGTATTCAATTAGGGGGATAACATGTGTATATGTGTTGTTTTTTTCTTTCAATGCACTTTTTTAATCTCTTGATTGTTTTGTGATATTTGTTTTTGTTTATTTTTTGGAGTTTTGTATATTAACTTTAATAAAATCTGTAGCTCGCTGACAAACCATACTCAGTGAGTAGTCCTCAATGGTACTACATCCACAGGGACAGAAGTAAGTAGTGGGGTACCACAAGGTTCCGTCTTAGGCCCAGTACTCTTCAATATCTTCATTAATGACTTAGATGAGGGAATAGAAGGGGAACTCATCAAATTTGCTGATGACACTAAACTGGCAGGAATAGCCAACACTCCAGAAGATAAGCTCAGGATCCAAAAAGATCTTGAGAAACCTGAACAATTGGCCCTTTCCAACAAAATAAGTTTTAATGTGGAGAAAAGCAAAGTTTTACATTTAGGTAGGAAAAATCAAATGTTTAAGACTAGATTAGGTAAAACCTGGCTCAAAAACAGCAACTGTGAGAGGGACCTTTGAGTCCTAGTGGACGATCACTTGACTATGAGCCAGCAGTATGCAGCAGCTGCCAAAAAAACTAATACAATCCTAGGTTGTATAAACAGAGGCAGAGAATCAAGATCATATGAAGTATTAGTACTGCTTTATAAAACCCTAGTAAGACCACACCTGGAATATTGCAACCAATTTTGGGTACCATACTACAAAAAAGATGTTGAGACCTTGGAAAAAGTTCAGAGAAGAGCAACTAAAATGATCAAAGGCCTGGAGACTAAAACATATGATGAATGGCTGCATGACTTGGGTTTGGCTAGTCTAAAGAAAAGAAGAAACAGGGGCAACATGATAGCAGTATTTGAGGGGCTGCCACAAAGAAGAGGGCGTCAAACTATTCTCCAAAGCAGCAGAGGGCAAGACAAGAAACAATGGTTGGAAACTGACCAAAGAGACAAGCAATCTGGAATTAAGGAGAAACTTCCTAACAGTGAGGACAATTAACCAGAGGAACAACTTGCCTTCAGAAATCATGGGCACTCCATTATTGGAGGTTTTTAAGAAGAGATTGGACAGTTACTTGTCTGAAATTTTATAGGTTCTCCTGCTCAAGCACCCACAACATCTGAAGGCAAGCTGTTCCACTGGTTAATTGTCCTCGTTGTTAGGAAGTTTCTCCTTAATTCCAGGTTGATTCTCTCCTTGATTAGTTTCCATCCATTGTTTCTTGTCCTGCCCTTTTTAGGATTTTTATCCATGAAATTTTGCTTAGGCTTTCTCTGAGTTCCTTAAAATCAGCTCTTTTAAAGTTTAAGACACTGGTTGGATTATATTCTTATTGGTTGTGTTTGCATTATATTGAATTCCAGTATGACATGGTCACTCATACCCATGGTTCTGGCAATTTCAACTCCCTGTATCACTTCTTCTCTATTAGTAGGAATTACGTGTAGTATATCTTTTCCCCTAGTTACCTACTCTACCTTTTGGATGACAAAGGTGTTAGCTAAGTTGGTTAGGAATCTGTTCGATCTCCCATTTGCTGCAGTTTATCTCCTGGTTGATATCAGGGTAATTAAAGTCTCTCATTATTACTATGGTATGTTTCCTACATACATTTGTTAATTGATTAGTTTGGTTGGGTGGCCTGTAGTATACGCCTATAGCAATGTCATTCTTTTTTTCCTTTTATATTGACTCATATAGATTCTAGGAGGTTTTCATCTTTGGTTTTGTGTATTTCTGTAGAGATGTAATGATCTTTTATATATAATGCAACTCCACCACCTTTTTTGTTAGGTCTGTTTCTTTTGAATAGTTTGTATCCTTCCATCAGTACATTTCAGTCATGAATTTCATCCCACTAAGTTTCAGTAATGGCAATTATATCATATCTGCCTTCATGTACTAATACTTCAAGTTCACCCTCTTTGTTCCCTGAGCATTAGTGTATAGGCATTTGAGTCCTTTATTGGTCTTGGGTCTGTTTCTTGTATCTCCTACATTGTAACTGGGATTTACATCCTTTCCATCACTATTTTGGTTCACCATCAATTTGGTTCACTCACGCCACCCAGGGGGTTGAGTTTAGGCCAGTAAACCCCTTTATGTCAGGGGTGTCAAATTGTTGGATGCGTCATGCTGAAACTGCGCCCACCCCATTGCCGGCAATGGAAAAAAAGTTGTGATACATCGTGACACTTCATAAGATATTGTAAGTTTGACACCCCTGCTTTAGATGCAACTCACCTGAAAAAAATGTTGGTTTTGTTGAAGTGGAAAGATAAAGTGTTATCTGCACTGCCTCAGACACTTCCATTGTCTGAATGGAAAGCTGTAAACAAAGAAACAGCTTCATACCTAAACAATGTCTGTGGTATGGTATAAAAGAACTATGTGACCATCCCCATAGATTCTTTTTTGCAAATGTTGTAAGAGTTAAAGGTGCTCAGGCAGGAATCTTTGACTGTGATAACCTGAGAAAGTCACTTTGTAAATAAGAAGCAGGTGGCAGATATTGGCTATTAACTTGACAAGATTGGAAAGTTTCAGTAGGATTTAAAACTGGATACTAAGTATTCTGGAATATTGTTAATGGAGAATTTCTTTTTATGCATGGCTTCTTAATTTTCAATATGTTTATTTATTTAATCTTGTATAAGTTTGGGAAGGTAGAACAGGGATAGAATGTAACTGCAAGGTAAATCTGCAAAACTGTGACAAACCTTACTCTTCTATTAACACAAGCTTATAGATGGAAGAAAGGACTATTAGCCTAATTCTCATTACACAACAGAGTGAGAAGCAGACATGGTGTAAGTTGTTTCCACATAGTTGCCATTCCAGATTGTTTTACTCTAATTGATGTGATGAGACTGAATGCATAAATCTTAGATTCAAATTACCACCTAGTTTTAAGAATCACTAACTCTTGGTCTTAACTGCTTCACTATAAGACTATGGAAAGCATTTGAAAAGAAGTGGTGTACAATTCATGCTAGCATGAACAGAGCATCTCTTGGTAAATTATTACAGTAATCACATCTTTTGCAAAAGCCATGCAATTACTTCCAGAGCTGTACCCAGCATGCGTGTGCTTTGCTGACAGTCCCAGCAGAAATATTTGCACACCCATATACCTGTGAAAATAGCTTTTGCAACAGTTATGCAAACACATTAAAACACATGTTCCTTTGCGAAGGAGAAGGAACAGACTTTCTTTGTATAATGGTTGTTTCAAACATATTTTTAAATGTTTTCCCCAGCTCTACTACATGATGAGTTTGCATACTCTCAGAGCAACTCAGAGCACAAGAAAATATAGTTGTATATAAAACTATCTGTGGATCAGCAGCCAGTAATAAAATTATCACTGGTTGCTGATTTACAGTAAGTGAATAAGCAATTAATTCCACAAATATCTGGCAATTTTTGGAATCAGCACAATATTTTTGATACAATTCCTATGACAGATTTATGGATGTGATCTAACAATATAGGATTCAGACATGGTGATGTGAAATTTCAATTGTTCTGAATCTTCTGTGCATTCTCTGTTATATGAACTGGTTCTTCAACATGTGTAGGAAGTGTTCTATGCAAAACTCAAGGATGAAACTAGAGACACTTTGCTGTGTAGACAAAACTATGTGAAAGAGGTGAGATGGATGATGGTAATGTTTTATCCCTCTCTTAAATATGCTTGGGGTTCCAATGGCAGTGTGACTGGCAGTGTGAACTGATGCATTTCTAGAAATAAAATGAGATATCAAGGAAATCTATAGAGCTTTGATATGATAGAAATGAGTACAAACCATGAATTTCATTATCCTGTCCATTTGCTTCCCTTAGGGCTTTTAATGCCATTTCTTACATGCTCTAAATATTTTGTTCCTACGTTGGTTTTCTCAGAAGACTACAATATTTCACTTTTATAACATCAGTAGTACTAAGCAATTGGACTGACATAATGGTGGAAATTATAGTGAGATACCCAGAAAAAAAAATAGAAAAGGAATACTGTCTTGAAAATCAGAGCCAGAATTTTCATGTACATATATTATCCAGAGAGCACTGTAATGGGAAACAGTAAAATAATTTTAAATCAGCAATTTAGAGTACATCTGAAAATAGGACCTGGATTGGTTGCAACAACACAGTTTCTTTAATTTTTATTTTATTTTAAAAATGTTTATTCTGCTCTACAGTGAAATGTTTTTTCCAGGGAGCTTACATATCATTTTAAAATCACATATTAAAAAGAAAAGCTAAACATACTGACCAAACAGAAATGATTTCTAAGTAGCAACAGATATACTGTATGTTATAAAGCAGGCATAATATTAAAACTTGGGTATACTATTGAAAATAAACATAGAAACCTAAACTAGAATTTATAATTTCACATTTTTTATCTATTCAAGGTTAAGACTAACCAATCAGTGAGTCAACATAAAATTGATACATCAAGTTGAAGCTAATCAAAATGGGGGAAGAATGAATAAATGAAATTTTCCAAAAAAGGAAAAAGGAAAAACTGTCTCAGCCTATTATCAGTCCAATAACTCTAGACCATCTGTCAATATTATTATTTCCCACAAAAGCAATGGAATGTTGTGGTATTTTGCCTAAGCTGTTATGACTTTACAGCAAAGGTTTACTAATATCTTTCAAATTAGAAAGACTAGTAATTAGCTATAACTGTCACTTCTTTACACACTGAATCTAAAATCTTTGTACTCGGGCACACTTTATACCATACTTTGTATCCAGTCATGTTAGATTAAAATATCATTACTTCAGAAGGGTTTCAAGAAAGCAGAAATAGACAAATAGAATAAAACTTTAAAGAACTTACAATAAGGACAGCCATAGATCTCGATCCTCAAACCAATTTGACCCTCTCCACTCCATTCCAGAGGAAGTATCCGAATGTAGCGGGCAGTAACTGGATGCTGTAAATCATGTCGTACCACAGTGTCAGAATTTACATTTCCAGGAAATGCCTAGGGTGGGACAACAAAACAGCATTATCATTTTAATATTTAATATATTTAATATTTAATATATATATATACACACACACAAACATACATATATGTGCAAGGTGGAGGAGCTTAGATTGCTTCTGTGTACTGCTGTAATTTCAGTGATACTGTCAGCCCCCCAAAATTAATTATTTATTTAACAAACGTATATTGTGGATATTTCACATAGTGATGTTAGGTGGCTCACAGAACCAATAAGAGCAGCAACATAAAAAACCATATCTTTCCCACCAATGCTTTTAATGGAAACACCCATGCTATTAACTCTGTTACACAATCCTATCTATTCAATGCTCAGGGGAACACAGTCCCTGGAAAGCTAAAAGGCTAGTGGCCTCCAGAATCTCGGTGGGAGTTTTTGCAAATTGCTGAGACTACTACTATGGAGACCTCCAACATTTGAAGGAAAGGACCTGAGCATGCCTATCCTACTTAACTTACAAGGATGGGCAGATACCCTCAAGGAGATGCACTCTGACTTCCGGTTCCGGTTCGCGGCATCCCTAGTCACACGAGACTCGTCTCCTCATCGGCTAATTTTCCCTCCGCCGGTAGACTTTTATGCGGGTCGAAAGTTGCCCTGGAGGGTGCGACTTCTGTCGATGAGGCTTCGCTTGGCTGCGGAGGAGCAGAGGCTCCTCCAACTGTCCGAGCTTTCTCTGAGGGCCGTCAGAGAAGGAAGATCGGCTAGTAAAATGGCCGATCACCCAGCTGCTTCAAACCACAAGTCAAAGAACATCTAAGCATTGAGAAACCACCGTGGTGAAACCGGGTGAGGCTTTTTTTTTGGCTCCTCTCTTTACTCTTTTTTTTGCCTATAAGAGTTTTCTTAGAACTATTTCCCTGTCTTGGAAAAGCAGCTTCTATATGTTTGGGAAGAAAGGCGTGGAACAAAAGAATAGAATAAAATTTTAGAGACTATATTTTATTTCATCTGCTTCTGGGGTACAGAAAAAATGCTTCTTTAAGAGCTGTACTATCACTTTATGCTGGAAGATTATTTCTTTTTTCACATTATATCTTAAAAGATTGGAAAAAAGAGGGGGGAAATGGTGTCTGGAAAAGATTTTTTTAATCTATTGAGGACATCTAGTGGCAAAAACTGAATATTGCAACTTCTGATTTCTCCTTGTGGAATAGACCTGACCTTCAAATTTTTTCAAGAGAAAAGTTAAACTGATGTACCAGTGGGAATTGTGGGGGTGGATACTGCTCAACTTTTATTAAATACAGCCTCGACAAAAAAAGGACAAAAAAGGAAAAAAGAGATTCTCTTTAATTACTATCAATATGAAGAAAGTTCAGTTACAATTAAACTGCAAACTTATATTGGAAAAGATTTATGAAGCCACTGCAGAAATATGTGCTACAATAAAAGAGTTTACTACACAGTTAAGAACCAGACGTTCCACTTCAAACCTTCAAACTGATTTCCAGACCATATCTGACCACTCTACAAATCAAAACTTACTAGAAGAGGAAACAACTGAGATAAAAGAGATTTCACCTTATAAACATGTCATTTATAGTTTTGAGGATCAGAAGAACCAAAGATTAAGACTTGAGACTTTAAAGCAACGAAGCTCTAAGGATGAGAGAAACAGAGGCCTAGTACAGAGAATGGGATTCCTATCATTTCAAAGGACACTGCAAGCAATAAAGAGAGATTTATTGGTGGAAAGGGAAGCTTGGATATGGAAACCTGCTTGGCATAGAAGGAAGGCCAGAATAAGACTGAAAAGAGACATTTAAATGATGTGTAATGGATTTAAAGGCACTGTTGATTTATGGATTGTTTCAAGGATTAAGACTCAGACTTAGAAATAAGAAAGAAAAAAAATAGGGGGGTGACTATTAGAATAGATATTTTAAAATAGATTAAGAATGTAATGGGTGGAATAATAGGTTTATTTTGATGAAAATTATTATGTATTGGAATGGAAAAAAATGTGTTTTTTTAGATTTGGATTGTTTTAATAATTGAGTGTTTTAAATTAGTGGATGATGCTTTTGTATGATAATATAGATGTGATAAGGTATGAAAATTAATTGAATGAAATTTGAAATTTGTTTGATGAACTGAAATGATTTAAAGCTTAATATTACTGTGTTACTTTAAACAATAACAATAATAATAATGGATTAAAGATAATCTAGAATACTAAGAATGTATTTTTAGAACAAGAGATTTATTTGTATGAAAACTATTATGTAATGGAATGAAGAAAATCGAAGAGATGTTTTAGATTTGGACTGAATTAATAACTAACTGAGTTAATTTAATGATGATGTGTTTTGTTTGATGACATGGATGTTATTAGTTATGATAATCAATTGATTGAAATTTGAATTCTGTCTAATGGATTGAAATGATTTAAAGTCTGATATTATTTTGTCAGCTTAAAGAGATTGATTAACTGATGGATTAGATATGTATAGGATAAATTGATAGTTTATTTTAAATAGGGGATATTAGTGGAAGAAGAAATAAATAAGATTTATGATAAAATTAAGGAACTAGAATATATTTGGAAGGGATACCTGAATTGATAATTTTTTTTATCTAAAATTAATTTGATTACGGTACCGTAAATTTATAAAGCTTTAAAACAGGTCTAGGTTGAATAAATTTAAGCTAGAACTGGATTATTTTAAATATACTATGCTACTTGAGGGACAAAAAGAGGGAATATTTGATGTATTGATTGAACTATCTATATATGTTTTGTTTTTGGATGTTTGACTACCCTAACACCATGGTGTGTCTTGAGTACTCTGTTTCAATAATTAAAAAACCTAATAAAATTTGTTTCAAAAAAAAAAAAAAAGGAGATGCACTCTTATAAACAGTTTGACCCAGTGCTATGTAGGGCTTTAAAGATTTCAACCAATATTTTGAATTGCATGTGAAAAGCACTTGGGAGCCAATGGAAACCATAGAACACCCAGTACTGTATATACCACCATACTGGATCAGTAGCAGCATACAGATTGTCTTCAAGGGTAACCTCAGAGTGAATGAGGAAACTGTTTCAACTGTTTCCTTTGTAGCATGCAGTTTTATAGGGTTGGTTTCCTAAGGTGGGAAAAATATTTGGATACATATATTATTTTGGTCTCTTTGAAATGAACACCAACGGTTCTCCATCACAAAATTGTTATTAGTAGAAGTTTTGTGTGTGTGTTTTTAAATCTTAATGTTCACCATAAAGGTTTTTTTATTTCTAAAAGAGAAGCTGAAAAATACATGTACAAGTGGAACTCTCACAACATGCCTGTTTAAGGTCAGATCATTTCTGCAACATTTTGAACAGCCTATGTTGAGATCAGAATGACCCATTTCTGTGAATCTTTGAGCTTTTGAAGATAACATTTTCAGCTTCTTCACCACATATTTGTATTTGATATAATTTGATATATTGTTGTTGTTATAATCTTGGTGTTTTTTAAACACACAGAGACGGAGTACTAGATTGGCTTTTGCATTCTTTTTTCATCTTCAAGAATGAAATTGCTGATTGCTGATGTTTCTCAAAATAATTTTAATTCAATTTCTATTATTTCTAGTCCAATGTTTCCCATGATATAATCAGTATACTAGGTTAAATAAATAAGTGTATATCTTTGATACTCTGCTTTTTCTATTTTGAACCACTTGATTGCTCCCCATTACATTCTATATGTTGCTTCCTGTTCATAATAAAAATACTAGCCTAAGTGTGCTGACTATGAAATAAGCAACCCATTTGAAAACAGCTTATTTTTAAGTCAGATACTATGTGGGACTGAGCTTGAAATTGCCTAAAATGCAAATATAAATGCTGGTAGAAAAAAAACAAGAAAAGAGAGCATAATAAAGCCATCTATTTTTCAGATTGTTTATTTATGTATTTATTTATTTATTTTATGAGGGATCCTTGGTGCTCTCTGAGCTTGCTTGTTTTCTTGCAGACATTTCATCACCCTAACTAGGTAACATCATCAGTGCTAGTAAGGAGTGTAGAATATTGCAAGTCTTAAAGCACTACTCCCATTTTATTTTTACCTTTTAGAAGACTAGGAAGAGTCCATTTGGATGCTTCCCATATCTCTTTTCCTTCTGTGGGCTGATGTACCTTTTGCCTGATGTTTATCTAGGCTGTGGTTCTTCCTCCTATCTCCCAAGATCATTACTACATACCATTACATTAACCCTATTATAGTGCACTAGCATTCTACATGTTATGAAGGATTCTACCTTGACAATATAAAAAATAAAGTTGTCACAAGGCAGAAGAAAAAAATTCAAAATTCAATGACCTATGTTTTAGTTAACTTTTGCAAATACTAAAAGGGATTTATATCAAATAAAGCATTTAAATGGCAATGTGTTAAAGATATATTTGGAGAGAATACCTACTAAATGCAAATTAATCAAATGAACATAGAATTATTAAAGTGTGGGACCTATAAAAGTGTCATATAGTTTTCATGAGTGATGAAATATGTCTTTAGCAATGAGAATAATCATAACCAAACATTCTATCATTAGATTGTTCCAAACATTTATATTTTTAGAAATTCTATTTTTATGAATAAAAGTTCATATTAAAATAGTCTAAATGAATGCCTTTCTAAAAAATTGAAGTGGCTTGTTGGGCCTACCATTGACAAAACTCTAGCCTAATCATCATCATCATCGTCATCATCATACATTAGACGTTTTTCCAGAAGTTTTAGATCGAATCTAGTAAGAATCACTGGGAACTCCAAGTTGACAAAGTTCTTGAAAATGAACAGGTCAAGATCCTATGGGACCTTTGGATCCAAACAGACAGACATCTGGCCTGCAACATGCCTGACATCACTATTGTGGAAAAGAAAAAAAGTCTGGTTCATTGATATTGCAATGTCAGGTGATGCATGGATTGAAGAGAAACAACTAGAAAAAATAACAAAATGTTGTGATTTGCAAATTG